ATACCGCATGTTTTCACTTATTGGAGGGAGCTAAAGCTCTTACAACAAGAAAATGGAGGGGACACATCTGGGTGGGAGGGGGGAGAGGGAGGAGGGAGGGAGGTTTTGGTGATGGGACACAATAACTAACTACATTGTATATTGACAAAATAAAAATAAAAATTAAAAAAAAAAAGAATCCATTAAGCAACAATCAGTCAACCCTTTCTGAGTCATCTTGAACGTAACCTGCTTATTATATGCTTTTAATGTCTGTGTGCCAATTTCCACTTGCACACAAACAAAATAACAAATACTATACTTGAAGGTCTGTGGCAAAGGAAACTGGGTGAGGCTTCAGCCCCGGTCGCAGGTTTGGGTACAGGCTGCAGGTGCCTGGGAAGCAATGTGTGCTCGCTGCACAAAAGTAGACAGCTGAGTCTCCAGGCTGGATGGCTGCAATGTGCAGGGAGAGATGTTTGGCCGTCTTGTCTAATAGGACAGTGAGTCTTTGGTCTTGCTTTTTGTCCATATTTGAACGAATGTCTATAATAAGCTGAAGACTTTTTCCAGGTTCTTGCTTATACCAAGGGAAGTAGTTTGAGACACTGTCTGAATAAGTACAGTTGATAACAGCTCTGTCTCCCTCCTGGGCACTCAGGGTAGAAGGATGCTGCTCCACTTTCTCTCCTTGGCTCAGCCCTATGCAGAAAGAAAAAGTCAGAGGTAGGAGAAAGGTTATCAGGTCATTATTTCATTTTTCTTCAGTAACTAGAAGAAACCTGAATAAAGCTAGTCTCCTCCTTGGACTTCCAAAGAATGTCTATTAATATATCCCATTTCCCAAAACCCCTCAACTCACAGTCCAGCTGCAGCCACAAGAATGTGAATAAAGTTTGAATAGATGCCTTCATTGTTCTTCCGGTTTAGCATCAGCCATAGACTTGCAGTCTCCAACAAGGAGAGCTACTTCTATTATGAAGTTGTCCCTTCTTTTGTCTAACAATCGTAGTGGTTTTTCGTATTGTCTACCCAGCCAATAAGAAAAAGGTTCTGCTTCTGCCATAAGCCTATTCATTCAGAATCCACTAAAATGCACCCTCCACATATTCTGCATCAGCAGAGGTGCACTACCCTCTTGTGGTCACATCCCCAACTACGGAACTCACTGGCTGAATGTTCTTCTCTTACCCTGTGAGGGACTCAGATGCATAAAAGCAGCAATAAGTCAAACAAATTAGGTGTTAGATCAGAGATTAAATGCACAGTAAGAATATAGAAATCAAAATTTAAATACGACTATTGAAGTTTTTTTGCTAAAAAATTAGGAAGAGGTAGATGCTGTTGATGTTAATTCAACGATGGACCAAGTTTAAATGTTTGAAATCAGTAGAGCACCATGACTCACTCTCCTGGACAAACGAAAAATAATAGCTTTCCTTTCAGCCAAATCATGATGACTTGTCTATTATGGAGAAAAATTCTTTCTAAAAGGAACATGTAAGCCAAAGATCGGAGTAAGAGAGAGCCAGTAGAGCACCATGACTCACTCTCCTGGACAAACGAAAAATAATAGCTTTCCTTTCAGCCAAATCATGATGACTTGTTTATTATGGAGAAAAATTCTTTCTAAAAGGAACATGTAAGCCAAAGATCGGAGTAAGAGAGAGAGGAACATTTGGTATTTTAAGTGCATATTATCTCAGTCTCTGCTCCTCCAAGCCTGGTCTTGCCCTTGACCTTGCTATTCCGAGACAATTGACAGTGCCAACAGCCAAAATATGGAAACTTCCTTCATTAGAGATGACTGTGATAGAAAGTAAAGGATCAAATCTCAATGATAAGGTAAAATGAGGACAAGTTCCATGAGTTATTAATATTCTAGACATAGGAAATAATTTGACCCATAGTTGGGACAGATTTGCAAGGAAAAACTTGACAGGCTTTAAGAATCTATTCCTATTGCTATGTGGCTTATATTCTTCAAAGTGCTAAAAGAAAAAGGAGAAATTCTCAGTGAACATCAAGCTGCAGATTCAGAAAATGGAAACACATATAAGTTTATTCTTGAGGTGATTTATTTTCTGATATCAAAATAGATGGCATGTCCTTATATGCAATGACTGAGTCATATGCTTAGTGACATTTTCTCCAAAGGGTAAGCCAACTTTCCTGGCATGGACTCCTGCTGCCTTGGCTATTGCTGGCTCAGATTCCATACTCTGTCATTTTTCTCTCAAACTCCACTACAATGTTTTTCCCCAAGTTATTGATAAAGTCCTTTACTCTGTAAATTTTCAGGGTTATCTCTTTCTGCCAGAAAATCTTTCTTATCTACTTTAATTTCTCGGTGTTTTCTTACTATCTCCATAAGAATAAATCTAGGGAAGCCTAAATATTGCCTGTGTCAGCTAGGGGAATAACACAAATAGAAAACTGATCCTAGAGAACTGACCATGAGAAATGGTCCCTGGGAAACCAAGACTACCTCGTTTCTAAAATCAAAACCCCTTTCCTGTGATTTGTACTCACTAGTCCCCTGAAGTTATAGAAATAAGTCTAAAACCTCATTCATATCTCACACCCTTAAAGATTTGAGGATAGCTATAATGAAGAATCTCGGCTCAATATGTGTGTAGGTGCATGTGTGTGTGTGTGTGTGTGTATGTGTGTGTCTTCTTTGAGACATATATTTTAGGCCAATAACCCTTTTGAGTTATGGTATCCAGAACTGAATGTAATGGTCTAAATATTACCATTTATATGGAGCACAGTGTTTCCCATATCAACTATAGCACAGGTAAAGCCATCCCCTGGACAAAATTCCCAGCCCCATGATTATTTCATTAAATATTGCCTGCTCCTTGTCAAAGTGTTGGCCTGAGAAAGCTTTTTTCCAGCACCTTTATGGACTTCAGCTGCATGAGGACAATGAACCTTTAAATGATCCAATTCCAATGATTATTTTCACTGATAATGAATGAGTGATGCTTATTATGTTTATGTCCTCCCTTCAAGGGATGTCCACCTGCATAATGAATATACCTTGCTATTTTTAGAAAATTCCTTAGAAATCTATCTTGGTGCTGAAGATGGCACCATCACTTTGGGCTCACTCCTGCAGAAGCCAGTGAGTGAGAGACTGATTTGCTGGTAGAATAACAGTGGCTCAGCCTGAGCCCTCTTTCCTGACATATCATATTATTCTTGTAGGAAAAAAAAAAAAAAAAAAAAAANTTAGGAAGAGGTAGATGCTGTTGATGTTAATTCAACGATGGACCAAGTTTAAATGTTTGAAACCAGTAGAGCACCATGACTCACTCTCCTGGACAAACGAAAAATAATAGCTTTCCTTTCAGCCAAATCATGATGACTTGTCTATTATGGAGAAAAATTCTTTCTAAAAGGAACATGTAAGCCAAAGATCGGAGTAAGAGAGAGAGGAACATTTGGTATTTTAAGTGCATATTATCTCAGTCTCTGCTCCTCCAAGCCTGGTCTTGCCCTTGACCTTGCTATTCCGAGACAATTGACAGTGCCAACAGCCAAAATATGGAAACTTCCTTCATTAGAGATGACTGTGATAGAAAGTAAAGGATCAAATCTCAATGATAAGGTAAAATGAGGACAAGTTCCATGAGTTATTAATATTCTAGACATAGGAAATAATTTGACCCATAGTTGGGACAGATTTGCAAGGAAAAACTTGACAGGCTTTAAGAATCTATTCCTATTGCTATGTGGCTTATATTCTTCAAAGTGCTAAAAGAAAAAGGAGAAATTCTCAGTGAACATCAAGCTGCAGATTCAGAAAATGGAAACACATATAAGTTTATTCTTGAGGTGATTTATTTTCTGATATCAAAATAGATGGCATGTCCTTATATGCAATGACTGAGTCATATGCTTAGTGACATTTTCTCCAAAGGGTAAGCCAACTTTCCTGGCATGGACTCCTGCTGCCTTGGCTATTGCTGGCTCAGATTCCATACTCTGTCATTTTTCTCTCAAACTCCACTACAATGTTTTTCCCCAAGTTATTGATAAAGTCCTTTACTCTGTAAATTTTCAGGGTTATCTCTTTCTGCCAGAAAATCTTTCTTATCTACTTTAATTTCTCGGTGTTTTCTTACTATCTCCATAAGAATAAATCTAGGGAAGCCTAAATATTGCCTGTGTCAGCTAGGGGAATAACACAAATAGAAAACTGATCCTAGAGAACTGACCATGAGAAATGGTCCCTGGGAAACCAAGACTACCTCGTTTCTAAAATCAAAACCCCTTTCCTGTGATTTGTACTCACTAGTCCCCTGAAGTTATAGAAATAAGTCTAAAACCTCATTCATATCTCACACCCTTAAAGATTTGAGGATAGCTATAATGAAGAATCTCGGCTCAATATGTGTGTAGGTGCATGTGTGTGTGTGTGTGTGTGTATGTGTGTGTCTTCTTTGAGACATATATTTTAGGCCAATAACCCTTTTGAGTTATGGTATCCAGAACTGAATGTAATGGTCTAAATATTACCATTTATATGGAGCACAGTGTTTCCCATATCAACTATAGCACAGGTAAAGCCATCCCCTGGACAAAATTCCCAGCCCCATGATTATTTCATTAAATATTGCCTGCTCCTTGTCAAAGTGTTGGCCTGAGAAAGCTTTTTTCCAGCACCTTTATGGACTTCAGCTGCATGAGGACAATGAACCTTTAAATGATCCAATTCCAATGATTATTTTCACTGATAATGAATGAGTGATGCTTATTATGTTTATGTCCTCCCTTCAAGGGATGTCCACCTGCATAATGAATATACCTTGCTATTTTTAGAAAATTCCTTAGAAATCTATCTTGGTGCTGAAGATGGCACCATCACTTTGGGCTCACTCCTGCAGAAGCCAGTGAGTGAGAGACTGATTTGCTGGTAGAATAACAGTGGCTCAGCCTGAGCCCTCTTTCCTGACATATCATATTATTCTTGTAGGAAAAAAAAAAAAAAAAAAAAAAAAACTTGGAGAACCTGAAGGATATGGGTGAGTTTACTAACATGTAAAGCAAAAGGCACTTTCTCAAACAGCATGATTGCTTTCTAGCTTCTAGTCCTTCCTTAGACTCTTAGCTTGAAGATCCAAGATTCCCAGCCAGGGTGTGATGGGCTACGTAATTTGTCAAACCCAGTGCAAAATGAAAATTTGTGGTTCCTTGTTCAAAACACAAGGAAAAAGTGCCATTAGGTAGTAAAATATAAGGATCTCTTTAAAATTTTTTATTACTTATAAAACACAATAGGGCTTATAATAATACATGAATAACAACATAAACTTACAAATGGCAAAAAAAATTTATTGGGTGTCATAATTTTATGTGATACAATAATTATACTCTATTAATATAATATCCTGATTAATCATAAAGTTTTACTGGCTCACTTTTCTGCAAATTCATTTATTAGGTTAGCAACACTTATACTTTTAGCAACTTCATTTTCAAGCACTATAATTAACAGCAATGTCCGTGGCTCTCAGTGAAAGCAAAACTGCAAACAGCATTTTTGATCATTTCTAATTTTGAGAAGTATATTTATGCTGATGCAATTAATTCTGGAGCTCTTAAGAATATTTTATATGCTGTGACAATGTTAGCATAAATATCTGATGAATTAGCTTGAAATATAAATTTTAATAAATCTAGGGTTAATGTTTCTAGTGGCACAATTTTTCTAAAACAATTTAACTTCTCCTGCCAATTAGTTTCATGTGTCTGAATTTAATTTTAAATGTAAATATATAAAGTGACATTTTAATGTTTCCTCTGACATTTTCTATAACTTGTATAAGAAATCAAAAGCAACTTCATGATTTGTATATAATTCACAATGCTTGTTTAGGCATCCTATTACTGTATCCTTAATTATAAGAAAAATTAATTTTAAAATTATCTTCTGAGTTAATAATTGGTTCATTCAAATCTTCATGTGGAAATAGTGTTCTTTTCCATGAAGCTACTATCTTTACACTTAATTTCTATTTCGAAGCTTGAGGATATTTGCTTTGTAACATTGCAGCAATTTCTAAACTTTTTGAAGAATTCTAACTTCCCGATATGCTTTATTGCAATGTCCCTGTATTTATTTTTATTTTGTAATAATTTACCAACAAAATTTACTGCCATCCACCTTGAGGCCCCACAGAGCATCTCGCAGCACCAGCTGTGCACATGCACTCAGAATGGCCCGACCAACTGCTCGGTTCACAGATGTCTGCTGGGCCTGTGAACCTGAGCCTGCATGTGTTCCTGTCCTGTGTCCTGCTGCCCCATATACCCCCTCTGTTCATGCACATGTTCCTTCCTCTTATTGGAATTCATTTACAAAACACAAGTTCAAAGATAAAATTATTAAGAATTTCAATACAGTATTAGCAGAGCATTAAACCAATCACCAGGCCCTTTGTGAGAGACTGCAGAGGTCACATGCTGAGAAAGCTGGCCCTGCTCCCAACTTTACTGGAGTGTGTCTGATTGTTTTCATCTTAATTTTCAGGGTCCTCCTCCTTCCTAGCCAATGTCCTTACATTAACATAAAAGAACTTGTGAGGTTGGAATTCTGTGTGTGCTGTAATTGATCCAAACATAGTTTGGTTATCAGAAGTCTTGGTCTGTGGCTAGAGCAGATAAGGGTTTCTTTTAGGGTGGTCCTGCAAGCTTTCTGCTCCCCTTCCCAGGCCTTGAATTACGTTACAAAATCATGGGTGACAGATTCATTCAAAATTCAAGGAGGACCAATGGCGTTTAATATAACAAATTGAAAAGTTCAGTGAGCTCTTTCTCACAAAACTCTATTGAGAAGTGACCAAAATAGATACTTTTGTCAGTGATATGTATAAGCACATTGTATAAATGTATCAATAGAAATCACTTACTTTTTTCTTCTATACTGGCTAGCTCAGAGCACAAGCTGTCATGTCAGACTTCCTGAGTAGGAATCCCACCCCAGCTTTGCTGGTTTAGTAATCATCTAAGCTCAGGTAAGACACTTATGCTCTGTAATTCTCCATTTCTCAGTGTGCAAAGTGAAGTACAGTACCCATTCACAGGGTATCATCAGTACCTAGGTAATATATGCAATAACCTAGAGTGCTGACACACCATGACATTATGTATTTTTTAATTATACTGTTTACAGGTTCCAGTAGTGAAAAGGCTAAATGCAAACATTAAAAAAAAAACTTACACATGTTCTGTTCCTTTTTCCTGGAAAGTTGAATGATCTGCAATTAACTGAAACACTGAGTCATCTCTTTTCTATTTATTGGCCAACATATATTTTAAAAAAACTTACACATGTTCTGTTCCTTTTTCCTGGAAAGTTGAACGATCTGCAATTAACTGAAACACTGAGTCATCTCTTTTCTATTTATTGGCCAACATATATTTTTACAAGCCTTTTTCATCACAGTAATTTGCATATAATTTCTATGTTCTCTGCCAGGGGATCTGTTTTACATTGGGTCCTGATATCTTTATCAGTTGCTTCAATGATTTCATATTAGAGCTTTATTTCCTGCAAAAAGATATCTAGAAGGAAAGGAGTCCCCCAAAAGTTAAATGACAGTCCTGAAACGTTTAATTTTAGCAGAGATAAAAGTGCTACAATGTGAATCAGAAAACCCAGAGCCATGCAAATGCTACTGCAGGGACAACGTGCCTCCCCTGTGGAAGAAGTGGTGCTGCAGTGCCAGCTGCAGTTTGGGTACGGGCTGCAGGTTAGCTGGGGACACTGTGCCTCCACCGCACAGAGGTAGGTGCCTGAGTCTTCCAGTTGGGAGGCCGTGATGTGTAAAGTACTATAGAGTTCCTTAGAATTCATTGTTGACTTTAACCTTCCACTCTGCTTTGTCCCTAAAGCCATGAAAAACAGACTTATGAGGCCACCCCCAGGATTCTGTCGGAACCACTGCACATTGTTCACGCTGGCAGAAAAATTGCACCTCAGAGTAGGGCTAGTTCCCTCCTGGAGACTCAGGGCTGAAGGACTCTGCTCCACCTGCACCCCTCTCACCCCTGCTTGGAAAAGAAAATAAAACAAATATGATATCACTGGGGAATCACTGATACAGTTTCCAAATCTGTAAAATATCCCAGGAACCCCCCACGCAGATGTAGAACATGCCAGGAGCTTTCTGTCAGCTCTCCCCTCTCTCTCGCCCTGTGGAACATCCCACAACCCGCATCTGGGAAAGTCCCAACTCACAGCAAACCTGAACACACAGAAGCCCCAGCAGAGCTCCCAGTCTCCTCTCCATGGTTCCTTGCCTGGTGGCTGAGGTGTCTTTATCCCTGCTCTGAAGGATGTTAAGTCAATAGGTTTCACCAGACTCACTGAGCACCACCCACACCTAAGCTCTGTGTTCTTCTTAACAGCAAACTCCACCCACAGTGGCCCTGTGAGACTTCACAGTAATCTCTCCAAAATTGTGAGTGGAAACAGTGCAGAGAGGTAGAACACAATATTTCCAATGTGTAAAGATATAAGGGTTTTTTTCCCCTTAAACACAAAAAAAACACATTATGTAAGAGAAGTTTGTGAGATGGTGTGTGAGGATTGGGTTGGTACTTCTGAGAAGAACTCATGTTTCAATTGACTTAAGTAGAGCCCTGAAGAATCATGGTTAGAGTGACCCTACTTTCCGAATTGCATTGTTTAAAAGAGAATTTGAGACTCATGTATACAAAATTCTGATAAAGAAAAACTATTTGGTGGCATGCACTATGTATTAAGAAGTAAAAATAATTTATTGAAATCAGGAGAGTTCTAGACACCCAGGACATATGATTACCACCTACATAGATTATTTTAAAGAAGAATTTGGTTGCTTAAAAGAAAAATAGGATATGTGCACGACGTCCACTCTGACTTAATTTCTATATCTCCCTTTCTTCTGTCCGGCCCTTTTCAACGCACCCTGAAAGCCGGCAGAGCTGATTCTGATTAAACCACACATTACTGGTCAAATTAAATATTGTCCTCTCCTTTTTCTTCTGTTTTTGTTCCTTATTTTTTACTCTGCTTTTACTTTTGTCCCTTCTAGTCTCAGAGGAGATTTATGAAAAGATCAGATATCAGGGGTGTTGGAGTAATTTCTAGGTCAGTAATTTTGGGGAATTTTAGTTGTAAAAATTTAAAAACTGAAAACAGGTAATGGAGATGTTTCCTATTGAGCTTCCATGCTGATAATGCTATGTAAACTCCCAATTCCTTACCATCGCTCAGAGAATCACTCTTGCAATGGATTTGTAGAGATATGGGCTTCACCTATCTGAGGTTTTGTAGAGAATGGCAGACCTGAGACACTGAGGTGAACTTCACTCAAAAACCTCCTTCCCCACCCCCCTTGCTGTCTGTGATTTGACTGCCTCACATGCTCTCTTGTCTCCCCCCTTTGCTGTTCAGCCCTCTGGGACCATCAGTGAATCTTTTGTAGTAAAGCCTAGAGTGCCTCCTTGTGGACAGAAACTGCCAACAAAGAAAACTTCAGACCAGCTAACTCCTCAGCCAACAGAAGACCCCAGCCTCATTCAGTCCATGTTTTCTGAAGAAAGAAATGCAGAAGGTCAGAAAACAAAATAACTGCCTAGATTGTATGCAGGTTAAAAACAAACTAATTCCTATTTTTTAAATTCCATTTTATGGAAGGAATACTACTCTGCCGTAAAAAGGAATGAAATACTGCCATTTGCAGCAACATGGATGAACTTAGAGAAAATCATGTTAAATGAAATAAGCCAGGCACAGAAAGAGAAATACCACAGCAGTAATTTACTAGGTCTTAAGAATATATAAAAAGGGATGAGACACTAATTGATAGTCTACTGAAGAAGTCAAAAATACACCTATCTATAATAAAGTCAAAGAGTAGGACCCTAAGAGAAGTGTAAACTATAAGCTATATAATGCTAGAGGTAGGAGAAATACTTATACGTGGGATGGTTGGACAAAATCTTATAAAGAATGTGGTTATTTTCTCCTTTCCCCCTTTTTTATGAAAAGAACAGAGGAAAATATGGTGGCTTTATGGCATCTTATTAGTTTTGACATTCAGAAGACTTCATAAATATATGAATTATTAAAAGTATTAAAACATTATCTATAAGCTAAAATTTCCTTTGACTACCACTACTAATCCTTTCACCATTTGTTACCCTAATTCCTTCTTCACTTTAATCCATTTGGATTTCGTGTTTCCAGATGGTTTACTGTAGTTTTACAAATATGAATCAACAGAAAATACATATAGCATTTATAGTTTCGTATTTAATACAGAATGGTACATTTTGTACAAACCTTTCCATTACTTGCTTTATAGACTCCATAATAAATCTTGTGGGTCTCATTATATTAACACGTAAGGTTCTTCTGCTACATTGTATTTCATGTTATGGATATACTTCAGTTTATATACAGCCCTTCCCCTATTGATGAACACTTAAGGTGCTGGATTATTTTATCTATGAAATAGAACACTGCAATAATCTTCTTAATGTCTTCTTCAGTAGAGTGTAAACTAGTGTCTCATCCCCTTTTATATATTCTTAAGGCCCAGTAAATTAGTCATTTACAATGTAACTTCAATAAATGTGTATAGATTTATTTTGAGCTAGAGAAATCAAATAAATAGCACAATACGAAAATTGCTAAATTATTTTAAGACATTCATTTCAGTGAAACTTTTATCCTCTTTATTCACATGTGCCCATGTTTCTCTAGCAGCAGAGACTAGGAAGAAATGAAGGAATGATCTATGTGGCAGGATAGAAAAGCACTCCAGGCAGGAGGAAGATCAGGGACAAAGTCTCTGAAAAAGAAGAAAGTGAATTTATGTTGTGATTATTGTGTTAGGTGGTTTTCTTTTTTTATTACTTTTCCTAATGTGCATTGGAATTATACTTTATCAGCTCATTTGATAAATGCTCTTAGAAATTAGTCACCTGATATATAGCTAGTGTGCAATTTCTCCAGCCACTGAGGTAGTTCTAA